CGCGGGGGCGCCCGCCCCCCGGCTCCCCCCGAGCCTTTCAAAGCCGCGGAGGGGCTCCGCTCCGGCGGCGGGGCATCCGGCGTACAAGACGACCCCCGATTTTTGGGGGATGTTTTTTAACTTCAGAGGTTGTCTTGTACGCCGGAATATACGGTACATGATGATGTAATGTTGTATAAAGGTTTTATTGAACAGCCTTTCCCAGTAGAAGCTTTGTGTGTATTCATAATATATATGTGTTGAAAGACTTAATAAATATGTTTTGTAGGAGAGAGTTACTGTTGTCAGTAAGAATGTGCATGGTGGAATTTTGTTTTTGCTATGTGGAAGCATAAACTGTAAGGTTAATAGAGTATTCATATAAATGTCCTTACTTGGTGATTTTTGTCATGTTTAATGCTGTGCCCTTGTCATTCTTTTTATGAAGGTTACCTGTATAAAAGAGAGGGAATACATTTTGTTGTAATATTGCATAAAGGTTTTACTGCTTCATGTTGAATGGACACATTTGTGTATATCTAAACTTTTATATTTGCAGCCTTAATCCTGATAAAGAAAGAAACTGTAGAAGTCAAAGGGCAATTTTTTGTCAGTTACTCTGGTGCAGATAGGCAGTAAAAAGTCAACAGGACAGCAGTGGCCAGCCCTGGCTACTGGCTCAGCACCCACATCTGTTACCTTATTTTCACTAAAGACCAACCAAGAGTTACATTTCTATTGCTTTTATTAAATGCCACTGTTGAATTAAACGGAAAAGGGATTGAACCCTCTCTCACACATACATCCATAAACTCATATACTCACACACTTATGCAAGAGATGAGTTGCACAGAGACGGCAAAAGAAGTCAAGGCATGGTGAGTCCAGTGTGTCTGAGACACACTGGTAGTGTCTGCCTGTAGTCAGCGATGCGGACCGGCGAGCTGATCGTACAGCCTGTTGTCTGTGTGCTCCCTTCTTTTATTGCACTGTCCAGGTGGCTCCAGTCAGGTACACAGTGTTCCTTTTCCATGCCCGTCACCAAGAAGCCCGCCCCTTAGTCCCCTCTCAGATATATCAAGTTCTTCCTTAGAAGTTTAGTTTCTCTCAGATATATCAAGTTCTTCCTTCGTTTTCATGGCACCTCTGCATTTGCTTTTCTCATGCATAGGCAGATTCTATCAGACATCAATGGGCTTCTGTGTCCATCTGGCCTTTGTCTTCGAGTGACTAAGGGGTTAATTCTGTACCTAGCAAGGTATCGGGTGGTCAGCTAATAACAATTCAGGTAGGAATTTCAAACGGGAAAAGGGGTTTTATCTCTCTCTTCTTTGTTTGAGAGGTAGAACAGTTTCTTCCAAGACTGAGGGAGGTGGGAGACACTTCTCTCTCCAAGGATGGACTTCTTAAAATGTGTAAGTAGGGAAAAGTTTAGCTAGTCCGTCAGGATTTGTTGTTTTCCTTTTGGGGATTTGGAAATAACGTCTGAGCTGTTAATTGTGTTGTTTTTTTCTTTGTAACTAAGTTTTAGCCCGTGGGTTTCTCTGAATATCTATATCAATTGGTGGCTCTTTCCATCTAGCCACTTTACTATGCTTGCAACTGTAGTTTTGTTTTGATAAGAAAGGATTGTTTTCTTTTCCAATTAACTGGCATTGGTTGATTGTTGTGTCCTTTGACTCAGTGCCTACTTACAAGGGAAGAGTCCATTGTTGTCTGTGAATTCCCTCTGTTTTTCTCAACTCCAAGTAAAATGGAGGTTGGGGCAGGGGGAGAGTTTTACCTTAGGGAGGAGATTTCCCAAGTGATCTCTTCCCTAGTTTTCTTCGAATTACTTGGGTGATGGCAGTGGATCCCCCAAAATCCAGGTCTTAGGATTTTGGGGGGAAGTTTTTGTACCAGAGCCTGTAAAGGCAAGGCTTTAGAGTGCTCTTGCAGGCTCCCACTTCTGCATTCGTTGTGCCAGAGTGGGGAACAGCCTTCACAACCTTATACTGAAACTTACATTTACATTATTCTGTGTTGGGCAGGGGCTTTACACAACATCCTGCTGCACTTAACCTACAGGGAGCTCACAGTGCTGGTGGACCGGTGATTGCCATGCTCTGACTTCCCTGTTTTGGCCTTTGCCTGGGAACCCCACTGACCATGCTGGCTAGGCACCTGCATTAAAGGAGGGCCCCACTCTTTTCCTGTGAGCCCAACACCCATAAACCCATCATTCCATCCCAAGGTCTATGAGAACTGGGAAAGGGGATGAGGTGTCGAATGCCACTACTTTTTGTAGAAGCAAGCTCACTCCTCCCCGATAAGGTTACTGGCACAACTGAAAATTGTTTGGTGCTCTGGATTCCCATCAGGCCTGCGCAGTGTTATTGAACAGCATTGTGAGCTGAGATGGGAGGTGCTTTAAGACCTTATTATAACTATTGCTCAAAACTATTGCTTCTGCTTTATTACTCGCGTTCTGCCGAGTCTAGGCTGTTCAGTTCCTTGTGTTGCCTTTGGAAACTATGTGGAGGCCCAGTTGCTTTTGTTTCTTAGCTAAGAGAGATGTGCTATGACAAAATTTGAAAACCTCTGCTTTAGGGATGAGCCATTGGACCAGGCGACAGAAGATTTAGGCTCTTACCATGGATCTGCCATGGACCAACACTGTGACAGTGAGCAAATGGCTCCCCCACTAGTCTGTGCCTCTGTTTTCTGCTCACTCTTTGTCCCCTTCGCTGTTAGGCTTATAAGCAGGTATGTTTGTACAGCGCCTAGCACTACAGAGGCTTCAGTTGTGGTTGTGGTTTCTAGCTGCTACTCAATACAATCATTACAATATAATTCTGCAGTCAGTTACTTCCCATTAAAACCTTCCCTTATAAATCTTGCATTAGCCTTTTTTTTTAAAGGAAATATAGGATTGATCTGACCAAGACATCAGTCTTCACTCTACCCCCTCAGCACTTAACTTCAAGCTTAGCTAGCACTGAAATCA